AGGTGGGGCGCACCTATGTTTACTTGTACATGTAAATGACAAAGCCTTTGTGAAAAAACTGAAAACTTCCTTCTTCCCATCAATTCATGAAATGAGAATTTGAAGCTGGGTACAGTGGCTCATGCTTGTAATTCCAGTTAATAGGGAGACAGACAGGAGGGTAGAAAGTTAAGAGGCCATTTATGGCAATTTAGGTCAAGAACTGTCTCAAAAAAGTGTTTTAGCCAGGTGTTGTGCCACACGCCTGTAATCCCAGCACTTGGGAGGCTGAAGAGGACTGCCATGAGTTTAAGAACACCGTAGGCTACACAGTGACTTCAAGGCCAGCCTGAACTACATAGTGAGATGCTGTCTCAAATAAAACCAAATATATAATTAATAAAGAGAATTCAGTTTTGGAAGACAGGTCAAGATTACTGCATAGATTTTCACACCTGCTGAGATACAAAGGAGCCACACTCACTTCAGCCTCAGAAACACCGTAAGGCCTTATGACGGGATCTCTAAAGGAGATCCAGACTCATTTCAGAAATGTTCCAAGCATAATTTCTAAATGGTGTGGGAGGATTAATCTAGATAAATGACTATTAAAATTTTTTTAAACAGAAGAATCATTTTTAAATGAGGTTTTTTAAGAAGCCTGACATGAAATCTTCTAAAAGCAACCACTATGCGCTGTGGCTGGCAGAGTGGCTGCAGCAGGAGCCAGGGCCTGCCCATTTGGCACCCTGGCTGCTATGGTTACCATGAGATTTCTCTATGTACCAGTTTCTCAGAGGAGTGGAATCCCAGCCTCTGAGAGGCTGAGGCTGGAGGATAGCAAGTTTAAGCCCAGCTGGGGCAATTTAACGATTTAAAGAGGGACCTTGTCTCAAAATAAAAAAAAAAAAAATTTAAAAAAAGGCTGGAGATGTAGCTCAGTGCAAATGCTCTGGGGTTCAAGCTCTAGTACTACCAAAAAAAAAAAAGTTTCCCAGAGTATAATTTCTTTTATCTGAAGATTCTATCTCTGACTTTTATAATTTCAAAAGAGTAGTGGTGAAAGTCACTAAATTGGCCAGGCAATCTGAATTTGAATTGGGTTCAAACTTGAAATCCTTCTGACTCGGCCTCCTGAGTGCTGAGATCAAAGGTGTGCATCACTACACCCTGCTCTTTTAGATCTTCAGAGAATGATTTTTGCAGGAAATCTTCTGTTACTTGAAGATGAAAAGAACATGAAGCAATTCTGATGTCAGACCTTTGCCTAATGACAATTCAGGTGAAGACCCTCTGGGGGGTTTTCTTTGCCATAATATACCATGGCTGAACATTTCTCTTTCCCTGAAAATGAAAGGGGGAAAGACAATGTAAGGAGTAATAAGCCTCGAAACACAATACAGTAAGTGGGAGAAAATGTTTGGTTTTTTTGGTACCAGGATCGAATTCAGGACCTTGCACTTTCGAGGCAGGCGGGGGCACCACTAAGCTAAATCCCTGGCGAGAAAATCTGGTTTTAAAAGAACCACAAGCTGGCTGTGGTGGTTCATGACTATCATTCCAGCATTCTGGAAGGCTGAGGCAGGAAGATGGTGAGTTCTAGCCCAGCCTGGGCAACTTCACATGACTCTGTCTCAAAATTAAAGAAAACAAAATAAGATAAAGTGAGGAGGGGCTGGGAAGAACTTCAATGTGAAGACCATGAATTCAACCCCCAGTGCCACAGTGGGGAAAAATGCAAAAACAAAAATAAAAAAACACAGAACTTCAAATCTTACAGATTTTGACAAACGAGAGTTATCTTAAATATGCTGAAAGCAGAATTTATTCTGAATTTTAGAGAATTTTGGAGTATTTTGACTCCCAAATTCAAGCATTACACTATCTGTCAGATATATATTAACATAGGTTAAGAAATGATGACAACATGGATGTAAACATTCATTCAAATATTTTTTCTTTCCAGTACTGGGGATTGAATCTACTCTAGGTAAATTCTCTACCACTGAACCACATCCTCACCTTCCCCCTCTTTTTTTTTTTTTTTTGAGACAGGGTCTCACTATTTAGTTCAGGCTGGCCTTGAACTCACTATGTACCCCAGGCTGACCCTAAACTCATGGCGATCCTCCTGCCTCAGCCTCTCGAGTGCTGGGATTATAGGTGTGTATCATCATGCGTGGCCTGAGAAAATATATTTGAGTGCCTATTATAGGTGGCAGATGTTCAGTGTTGGGGACACAATCATGAGCTAAACAGAGTCCCTAATCTTACAGAATGTCTAAAACAGTGGAAGAGAGACATTTTAAATTAAAAAAGGGGCTATTTAAAATGACTATTCACACTTGCCTAGGAGGTGCTCACAGTTCCTAAGGTTCAATCCCCCGCACCACAGAAAGTAGAAGAAAGGAGAAAACCCATGTAATTACTATATAAACAATTTTACAAACTGTGATGAGAGCTGTGAAACTGTGAAATAAAGTCCAGGGCACATTAAGAGTACCTAACATGGGAATCTGGTGATAGCTGTTCATTGGCAACCTGACAGGAGAGCCATTCAGAGCTGGATGGAAGGAAAACAGGGATCCTCCAAGAGAAAGGGCACTCACGATCCTCAGGGAGTGAAAAGGGTGAGGCTTGTTCTTCAAATGTTTTTGTCAGGTTTATATTTTGCCCTTGGCAAAAACTCATCACCATGAATATGAGTAGAACATAAAGACAGGGCACTGATGTATTCTATTTTCCATATATGGAGGCAACGGGCCCTGAAGGTTTCTGGGTGGCACAGAGATACAGTCTGGATATTTCTGTCATTCCAACAGGGTCTGGGTATTAATACATTCGGCCACAGGCAGATTACATTTTTTTCTTTTTTTTTCGTAGCGGGGTCAAACTCAGGTCCTTGCGCTTGTGAGGCAGACATGGGGCCACACAGATTATATTTAATTTTTAAATTTTTATTTATTTATTTATTTGGGTAGCAGGGATCGAACTTGGGACCCTGTGCTTATGAGGCAGGTGGCAGAAACACTGAGCTAAATCCCCGGCTGAACAGATTATATTTTAAAAACTGCACATCTACTTTGTGATTTCTAGATTGCATATTGTTTGTTTGATTTTGATTCTTTGAGGCAGGATCGCAGGCTAGCCTTGAACTCATGGCGATCCTCCTGCCTCAGCCTCCTGAGTGCTGGGATTACAAGCGTGTGCCATCATGCCTGGTACAAGACTGTGGACTGTGTAACACATTCAGGATCAACCTCTAGAGCAGCGACGGCGAACCTTTTAGAGCTTTCAATGTTAACAGCCTGTTGTGGCACTTGTCCCATAGGTTTACCACCACTGCTCTAGTCACCTTTTCTCTACCTTCTCTAAATCAATTTCTACCACAATCTATAATTTTGTTTTTGTTTTTAGCATGATCTCAAGCATATGATAAATCCTCATCTGCAATGTTATTCTGAAAACGGAAGTTTTACTATATCCCTAATGATCAGAGAGCCAGGAGTTCTTCCCCAGGAAACACATCAGCACCTATTGAATTGAGAACTTGAATGACAAGAAAAGATCCAAGAGAATGGACTTTTGTCAGAATGGCCAGAATGAAAGGCCTGAATTTCTTTGGGCAGGCTGACAAGTTTGCTCTGTGATAATCAGAGGTAATTAGCTGTGCTCCTCTGGGCCTCTCAACCTGAGTCAGTATGCTTTCAAAGTCTGCTTACTGATGCAGAGACACGACAGCGCTGAGGCCCAGACTCTCCAAGCACATATAGTCTGACGAGGACCTGGATTCTTTATTGGAAGGATGAACTGGAACACTTGCCACCAGATGTTACCAAGAGATCTGAAATACTTGGTTAAGTACCTTTGCTCTCCTGTTTTATTTTTTTGCTGTTCTTTTTTTTTTTTTTTTTTTAGCTTTATGAACTTCCAAAACAGAACATGTATTCCCAGGGGGCAAATGGAACATATAGGAAGTCTGGATGGCAGCCTTGGACAGCAGCAACCTACAACAAACCAACGGTGTGGTGGAAGCCTTGAAAACCAGACCATGAGAACATTTCCCTGTTGGCTGGGTCTATAAAATCTGTACTAAGTGATAGATGCATGAAGCAGTTTAGGGGTCTGGGCAATGAGCCAACCAGAAGGAGGAAGGAGCTGGGTACCCCTCCAGGTGTTAAAAGATGGCAAGAGCTGCATACTCAGTGAGCCAGCATTCAGCCAATTTATTTACTTGGGTTTTTGTTTTGTTTTGTTCTGTTTTGTTTTGTTTGAGACAGGGTCTTGTGATATAGTTCAGGCTGGTCTCAAACTCATGATGGTCCTCCTGCCTTAGCCTCCGGAGTGCTGGGATTTAAGGTGTGTGTCACTACACCCAGCCTAGTAAATGTTTTTCTATTTTATATAATAATAATGTTATATAATGTAGAAGGTATATAACAATGTTATATAATAATAACGTTTTATTTATTTTGATTTTTTGAGGCGTGGTTCAGGCTGACCTTGAACTCACTCTGTGGCCCAGAAGAGTGACTGTTCTCTATTCCCTTTACTTCCTCAGCTGTTCTTTTATTTACTGACCTCAATTTAATTTATAATCTAAATCTCCTATATAAAATTATAGAAAGGGTACAGAGAGTACACACAGTTTAAATTACCTAGCAAGTAGCAATTAAGTGATTACCTAAGTACCAGGACCAACACTATGGAACAGTTATGAAGGAGAGATAATTAATCTAAAAAACTGACACTGGGGTGGGAATGTGTAGTTTAGTAGTAGATTGTTTGCCTACTTGTGATCCCAAGCACTGCAGAAACACAGAAAAGTAATAAAATGAATAAAAAACTGGCACTGGCATTCTCTAGGAGCGGGAGATTCTGCTAGGATGCTGTTGCTATCCTCTGTGTGCGTTAAGTCTAAGACCCCTTGTAAATGCAGGCAGTATTCACAACAGCAAGCCCTTATTGTCTCCTCGGTAGAAGCAGGTGGAGAGGGGTGGGAAGCCATGTATAGCACTTACCGTCTTCTGTTTCCTGCCACACAATTCCTTCAAGGTTGACGCTGGTTCCAGGTTCACAGGGGCCCAAGCACTCAGGCTCTGTGGCTAGAGCCACATCACACGTGTTGACCCCAACGGATCGGGTACGAACCATGATCTGCTCACAGGGAGATGAGATGTCATTATTGACCACTGGTACCAAAAGGTGCAGTGGCAGCACCGCCGGTGTGGAGACAGGGGACTCCATCTGTGGGGCAAGAGAGAGTAGTGGCTGAGCTGCAGGGAGATCATATAGAGGAAATACTCCCCCACCCCAAACTATTTTTTGGTACTGGATATTGAACCCAGACCCTCTCCAGTGAGCTACATCCCCAACCCTTTCTCAAAAAAACTTTAAAAAAAACTTTTTAGACAGGGCCTTGCTAAGTCACTTAGTTGCCCAGGCTGGGCTTGAACCTGTGATTCTTCTGCCTCAGCCTCCTAGAGTGCTGGGACATCCAACTAAAGAAATAACTTTTTGGGACCGGGGATTTAGCTCAGTGGTACCGACACCTGCCTTGCAAGAGCAAGGTCCTGGGTTCGATCCTCAGTACCAAAAAAAAGGAAATGCCTTTTTGTATTTAATCTAATCATATATCCTTTGTTGCTATAATGCAGCAGCTCCAAATAGAAGACTTTGGTCCTTCAAGTTCTAGCTGATGACATTATTACAAATCTAGTGTTTAGATGAGAGCACCCTGTGCTAGGTGTAGCTCTACTATGCATACTGACTGATCTTCTCTGAAGATTAACTATGAAACCAATCAACATAAAATGAGAGTCAAGCACTGGGATTCTTTCCCCTTAGGAAAGGCTTTTCACAGATTAAACGTGGTCTTGAACAGAAACATTCAGAGATGGCCACACATGCATCCA